GATTATCCTCTCGTGCATAGCAAGGACAATGGATGAGGCGCAACCAGTCGAGCAAGCAGGATTTCGAAAAGGATTTTGCTTCATGGACCACATCTAAACCGTGTCGAGGGACATCGAAATTTGTCGGGAATACCACTTGCCTTTAATCCTAACCTTTGTCGGCTATGAGAAAGCGCTTGACAGTGTCGAAACGAATGCAATACTATCAGCGCTCGTCGATCAAGGAGTGGACCGGTCCTACATAAGGCCTTTGTCCGACTGTTATCGGAACTGCACTACGAAAATACAGCTTAACCATCGACCTCTTACAATACCCATAGGAAAAGAGGTTCAACAGGGTGACACAATATGGCCAAAGTTGTTCAGTGCCGCACTGCAGTGGATAATGAAGTCACTCGATTGGGATGAGAAAGGCATACGTATCGATGGAGAATTCCTATCAAACCTTCGTTTTGCCGACGGCAGTGTCATCTGCTCAAAAAGTACTAGCGAAGCAGAGATGTTATCAACGAGCTCAACGAACCGGGGAAAAACATCGGACTGCGTATAAATCGAAAGCAGACCCAGTTCTTGAAAAAGCCATGGTGCAAGTACGAAAAAATTGAACTGGATAGCTCTCTCATTGCTTAGACTATCGCGCACGTATACCGTGGGCGATTATTGAACATGGAAAACACCGTGAAGAAGGAACTAGATAGAATAAGGAGAGCACCTTGCACCTTGGGCCGCATTCGGGCCTCTCAACCATGTAAAGTTCCGAACTTGGTATTCATTTGTCGTAAGCGCTATTCATTCCATTTTTCGTACATGATTCGATTGACGTCTCGGCATCTTTTTTTTCAAAGCTGCGGTGATCCGATTCGATGGTCCACAATCGTTCGCTCTAGAGATGGTCTACGCACTCGCATCTGGTCGAATACAATGAAATGTGAGGTCCTTGAATGGCTATCATGATCATTCAACATTAAGAAAAGATGCTAAGATAATAGATCCACAAGTTATAGATAAAGCAATTTTACGAGTCCTAATATCTTCGCCAATTACGAGGGTAAGGCAACTAGATGAACGGAAGAATCGCTGCCGTTTTTCGTACCATGTGTGGAGATAGACTACTTAATTATCTAACTAAATGCCTTGTAACATTTATACAATAAACTGAACAAAATTCGACGTCTTACCACAAAACAACCTGGAAACCTGCGGATATATAACTGCTAATCTAGTTACATTAGCAGACGAAAACGGCTTCATGAGCTATTCACAACGCTGAATTACAGGTTACAACTAGAGTTGTGGATGTTGTGAATGAGCTCGACATTTTCATTTAGAAACCTAAAAATGAGAAAATTATGAAAGCATTTACCATTACCTTAACAAGCACAAGAAGAGAAACCAGCTTCGTTCTTTTCAACAAAGACAAGAAAACGCAAGCTCTAAGGAGTCCTCTGCGCAAGAAAAGGCCACACATGGAAAAAAATTCTGTACCGCGAAGTCTTACAAATGTTAACGGAAAAACAAGTGTTTTATTTCACTCCTCTTCGTAGTTGCTCTACTTAGTAAGACATTGACTAGTTAACGAGAAAACGTATAGTAATTGAGGAACCTTATCTTCTCAACTTTTGCAATGCCTTTGTAGAATTACTTTATAGTGGGTCCGCTCAAATCATACCCCACAACATGACATGAATCTAGCACAAGTTGTGGAAGAAATATCTCCTCACACTACAAAGAAAGAAAAAAAGGAACTAAAAAGTCGTACGCGGACAACAAATAAGCCCATTATTCCAGTGTCAGCTCTGAAGAGGTATGTTAAAGAGGACAGGATTACTGCAATCTTAATATCTCAACCTTCCATATTCCTTCGAAAGACGAGATTTTTACTTTAAAATCCAAGGTCCAGCTTAGAATATAAAGGATAAAACACTTTGCGGTACAAATAAATACAAATACATGCAACGACTACTCGGTACTCTTTGAAGCGCTTGGTTGACGATTCTCAAGACATAACCGAAGCTACAAAAAAACAAGAGTACTTCCACAGTTCTGACAACTACAAAATACCATAACTACATATGTGTTTAAATAAACAAGCAACAAAACTCGATTAAAACGAAAATAAGAAACACGCGTGAAAAAACAGTTGTACATGAAAAGCAAAATATGAACATTACATACCTCACTTGATGGCACATGAGCTCTAGTGACTTTCCGAAGCTTGTCGGGATACATAAGCATGCAAACTGCAGAATCTGCTATCCATTCAATTGCAATACTTCTCTCATCTATTGCAGCAGCAACAGCAGTCTCCCACTTCACCATCGCTCGTTCTCGCATCGTGCGGACAAAAGAGTGTTTGAAACATCTTGAAAGTGGATAACAGGCAGAGATAACAAGAACTCTACTACCATGCATCACGGTATCGGGAATAATGTAAAGAGCGACTTCTCCAAATAATGGACTATCGTAATTATCGTAATATTCAAGGGTGAGTGTGGCGTTGTGGTCGGAGGGGTCCTGCAACACATGGGTTCGATCCCCACGCTGCTGGTCCACCAAGCCTTGCACTCCACCGGGCTCGGCAAATTGGTACCAGACCTGGTAGGATACTAGCACTGGCACGATACATTGATAGGCTACTGTTGGTCATTTTGAAGGCCAGATAGGTGTTCAATCACATCCAAACGACGCATAGTGAAGTCGAATGCATGGTGCATCACTCAAAGATTGATTACCGCCGAAAGCTTTAGCTTTTAGCTTTTTATGATGATTTTCAATGTTTTATCCAAGTTTAGATGCTCCAAAAAATGAACCAACACTGACAAATCTGACGCGTATGTGAAGTTCTTCGTAGCATTCTTCAAAATTCATTCGCTCAGAAGAAAGGAACATCCATACATCAGAAAAATGTATTATGAGTTTTTACGACAACATACACAACTGCCGTTTAACACCCATTTACGGCAGATATTCTATCCAGAAAAGGAACAAAAGAGGTCTCCAAGAAATTCTAATTTTACGTGATCGACAATGACCTCTACCAGTTCTCAAACTTTTCAGCGATAGCTAAAAGCTTACCATTTTCAAAGTTTGGTACTACTCAACACTAAACAATAATCTCATCATCGATTAGTCAAAAAGCGCTCGACCCCGACAGGAGCATTATGACATAACAGCATACCTGAGAAACATTAGTTCTCAAGAGTTTTGCGTCAAAATACAAGGAAACTAGTCGAGAGGACATCAGAATGAAAAACATGATAGAAGAGAACAACAATATCGATGAGCCTGCCTTTCAGACATCCAGGATTTTATTCAAGTCTTTCTAAACAGAGGCAAAAAAATGGATTAATGACAACGATATTCGAAAGACCGACTTTCTATAAACCTCTGCATAGATAGTTGATATATTTATTTATGTGATCTTATAAACTGATCTTCTTAAGCTGACGCAAGGTTGGTACAGATTTTCGTTGTCGTCGTTGTTTTTGATGTTATTGATCGATGGCTGACGTTTCGGCGACTTCGCCTTCCTCAGAGCCGTGATGTTACGTGCGGTCTGTACCAACCTCGCGTCAGCTTAAGGAGATCAGTTTATAAGATCACATAAATGAATATGACAACGATATTACTAAACAATGTTTCGAAAATGGCCAATATGAAATATCACATCTGAAAGCTAAAGCATTTATAGGAAAACTACACGGAATCTCAATAATACATCGCAACAGGTTAGCAAGCCATTTTATCTCTGTTTAATAACATTGAAGATCTTCGACCCAGCTGAAATAGCAGTATCAAATGAAACTCTGGACAACCAGAGCGTTCCCGAGGATCATGAGACCATGAGCTATATGGTAACTTCGTGTGCAGAAGTAGACCATTTTAAAACGATACCACTGTAGATTTGAAGACATAGGTTTAACAGCGCGACAGGTTGTCGTCAAAACTATTCGTTGTGATTCTCGAGAACGTCATAAGAAAACCATATCTGAAAGATACGAAATGAAATCCAACGACCGAGAGAAACATCGCTTCCGCCTTACTGATGACGTCATTCTCCCAATGTCATGGATTATTGAAAGGAATTGTGGCCGAACAGCGACCGAAATTTTGAAAACATCACTTTAAACTCTACCCTACTTGATTAAGGTAGCGTTCATAAAAACAGGAATGGTTTGTGGCTCCACATCAACCTTGAGCGGAAGAGCAAATGCACATGCTATGTGTATCTGTACAGAAAACTAAACGTCGAGAGGCGAAGTTCCAGAGTACAGCAAGTTGTAACGAATATAAGTAACGTTCTCTGAGACAGATACTAGAACGTCGGATGCTAAGTAAGCTGAAAATGAGTACAACCAACGTTCTCGAACAAATCATGAGAAGCGAAATTCTAGGAAAACCCAGTATTAAAAAAGAAAGAGATAAAATCCAAACAGCAGTGACATCTAAAAGTGAAGATGTCAAAATAGACTACTTCCATGTGTTGGAAGCACACCAAAGCGACCACTCACACATTACTTTGCATCTAGAAAAAAAAAGAAAAACATGGGTGATAAGATCAAGCCATGCCAACCAACTGCATCAATTATATAACGGTTACAAGGATACAACAGACATAATTGTGTCCACGATGCCGCAAAACTAAAAGCACCTCTAACATACACCAAAACCACTAGAATGACAACTGATAACTGTAGACTTGTTCTCTGCACATATTCCCCAATCGTGGCGCAATGGTCGTGATGCTGACCATCATGAGCACACTGCTCGTTCGACCCCACCCAGGGCTCTCCAAAACTATCTTCCCTACGAAGTGGGAAACTGTTAAAAGGCTTGCCTGGAAAAAATTCCTTCTCTGAAATCCAAGTGGCGACGTTCTGACACGGCTATATCAGGGATCTAGGGAAAATCGTCTCGACCAGCATCCTACGACATTCAGGATGAAAGGAAATTCCTTGAGAAGGCGCCGAACCCACACGCAAAAAGTTGGAAGAACAGAATATCGTGGAAGATGGTTGCGAAAAAACAAACCAAACGCAAAAAAGTGATGGGATCCGCACAGTAGATGTGGAAGAGATGTGTAAAAAAAAAGTACATGGCTCATTCTGGAACAATCTGTAATGCAACCAATCGAGTTACTCGAATGCATGACTTTGATTGGACGTTGGATTGGCATTCAACGCACGAACGAATTCCGCTGGTAGATGTGCGCAGCAATAAGCAAAACAATCGACCATCGAACACAGCCATCAGACCAACATCGGACTGTAAACGGTAAGCTAAACCTAACGATACATGTCGCAACTGGGTTGAAAGCTAGCACTAACAACTTCGAGTAAAACATTTTCTAATGAAACTAAATGGACGAAACCGCAAGGAATATGAAGAAAAGACTTACCCAGACACAGGAAAAACAAGACAGAGTGTTGGCATAGCGAGTATTCGATCCTCCTGTCTTTTACGACGACCTTTCTTCGATTTACATGATACGGTAAACTGTTCCAATTCTATAGGACGAGATAAACATAAAAAAGAAGCACTTCAAAAGAGTATTTCGAAATCACAGAACTATGTGATGCCATAGGCAAAGCACACCTTACAGGTTTCTTCCACTGCTGAGAATTCTCTTCGTAAACGTATGTATACTAGTGATAACCAGCCGACATCAGATACCACCATCTGACTGATGTTACTTATCTCGAACGCGTAACTATTGAAGAAAACTATAGTGAACAATATAATAAATAAATGTGAATAAAAGAAACATAATGCGACTTAGATCTCCAGATAAAACCAGGAACTTTGTGTTTGAATAGAGGTGTAAACCAGAACCAGAAATAGAGGTGTACCTTCCACGTAATCCTTTCTGTATGTTGTCCACTGCTCAGCATGCTCCAGTGCAAATGCGTCGGAAAACGTTTACGCCAGCCAGATAGGAGAGAACCTAGAAACAGAAAGTTTGGCCTCATCAAAGCCGACAACAAAGGGAAATTACAGAACAGATATTCGGTGGATAAAAAGTACCCGTTTGCCTAGATGTATAGGATAAAAGGATAAAGCTTTCGACGTTGATCAATCCTTGAGAGATGCGCCATGAATTCGACTTCATCGAGCATCGTTTGAGGTGATAGAATGCCTATCTTGCCTTTACGATGATTCACGATAGTCTACCGATGTATGGAGCCGGAGCTGCTATCCTTCCTCTCAAGTCTGGTACCAATTTCCTGACCTCGGAGGGATGGAAGGCTTGGTGAGCCTAGGGCGCAGGGATCGATCCCTTGTACATTGCAGGGCGCCTCCGACCACTGCGGCACACGCTCCTTTATACATATATTACAAGGAAAACCTTAAATTAAACAACAATAACTTCAAAAGGACAAACCTACTCAGCATACTCTTCGTAACGAGATTAAAGGCATCGAAATATGCGTCATGTTTAATAACACGTATGAACGGTGCACGAAATCTCAGAACTGCTCCATCTGCAACTCTAAACGGTTTTGTGGGATGTGGCAGATCTTTGAGCAGTATCGAAAGTGATCATGTCGAATGAGAAAAGTCCCTTCTAGAAGGACCTTTAAACTAGAACTCATGGAGCAAAAAAGCCTAATTAGTAATGCAGAGATACCTGCTTCATTATCGCCAGCGAAACCTTCTGTTAAATGCTGAAAAACAGACTCTCAGGTCTCGTCTTTCCACTGTTTCACATTGATGAACGTCCTCCATAGCTGAAGCACGGCATACATCTCTTCCCAATGAGGACATTAACTTCTGGCAGGACACCGAAAAATCAGAAACAGTGCCAAATATCTCGTAAACTTGAGAACAATTTAGAAGAGAAAGAGAAGAAGACGGTGACCACCTTTTGCAAAAAACCGAGGCTGAATATACAAAGGACAACTGATTCTGCCTGTGATTTACACCAGCGTGACGTACTACGAAATGAGGATATGCCCACTTGTGCCTGACTCTAGTTTGGATTCTTTTAAGTAAACATGTTTTCCCATGTGGTATTTTACGTCCATATCGCTTTTGTCTAAGATTTTAATATTTTTATTCTACGCGGATCCTATTGGAGGCAAAATTCAGTATTGTTTTCAGTGTTAGTCCTGCATGAACGCTGTTCAAGAAGTCTTCCAGACAGTTTCAAATCGACCTATATGCTTTTGGACAGCGTCAGATGTAGATGATTGGCTGCGTAAGAGAAGACCAAAGCTCGCACTGAAGTATTCACTGTATTTTCTAAGGCACAATGTAACAGGTAATTCTCTTTTTTCTGACATAGAGCGTAGTCAGAAACTGGGTAACCCATTAAAGGGCCATTAACCCATCTAGTTTTATTCCTATCTTGCATCTCTCCTGGTAGAGTTGGATGGCAACACATTTTGCTTGGTCGAATTACTGGTTCGGGAACGTTTTTCTTACATTACCCTTGTTGCGTAAAGAGTTTGCTAACATTAGTTCAGAAGAATTAATTCTGCTTTAAGTTTCTGATAGCTGCTGTGCTTCATTTATAATATTTCTTTTGTTTGATATGAAACATTGAAATGGCAAATGTCAATGTGAAACAGTTCATAATAATGTTAGGTGGGTACGTGTAGCGCAGTGGTCCAAGGCGCTCCACAATACACACGTGGAATCGATCCCTGCGTCCATGGCCCACCAAGCCTTCCATCCCTCCTGGGTCGGCAAATTGGTACCACATTTGTCCGCCACATATAGCAGCACTGGCTAGATACATCGGTCGGCCACTGCGAGTCATTATAAAGATCAGATATGCATTCAATCACCTCCAAACGATGCTTAAATGAAGTCGAATGCATGGTGCATCCCTCAAGGGTTGATCAATGCCGAGCTTGAATGTGTTAAGTTTGTATAGAAAAATGTCTGTCAAAATGACTCATCATTCGCTAACATGACACTATTGGTCACTGAGCAGTAACATTCATACAAAGTGATAAAGCAGGAGGTTGATTACAACGTAAAGAGAACAACTGCATCATCCACATCAACATCGAAATATATGCGACGCAGATATGACAAATAGGCAGAAGAGAGCTATGGAAAAGCGAAACAACAGTGGTAATCATACAAGAAAAATCGAATTACTCATGAAGGGGGTACATTGTACGTGAAGCAATAAAAGAGGACCTTTCTATGGGTGTCTAAGTTGCCAATTCCACAATTTCTCTACCTCATATGTTTTCTGGTCCCGTTCTGCAGACATGTGCGGAAGACCGCTACAAGACTCATCTTGGTAGATAAGAACACTGACTTGATACATGGAAAGGCCATTCAAAGTTATTGTACAGACAAAATATTTCTTCAACCTCTTCTGCAATGTCTGATGAAGGCAAATGCATGATGCTTCGCTATGGTGTTAACACGTAACCCTTTATTCTTTAAGGGTGTATATGCTCTGATGTGCCGAATGCATAACACGGAATACATGTCCAAATTCGGTTTACTACGCATTGTCGCTTATCCCTTTGTTTCTTCCATAATTGTTTCATGTATTTTCTATACCCTTGTGTTTATTATTTTACCTTCTTCAATCTCTTGTGTGTGATGAAGGGTGATTGGCGATCAACCTCAACTAATGACGGTGCTGTCGAGCTTTGCTAGTCGGTTTTGCAATGTATGTAGTAGTCGGCTATTCCATGCGGCAACCGTGATTTATTAAACGATTGCAAAGACAGAACAATTAACTAGTAGTTATGTACTTGAATTTTGTGTGCTTTCCTATATGCCCAAGTAGTTTTTGGGGAGTAGGAAATGATCTTCATTTCTCTGGTGCTACTTGTCTACGATGAATACGAATATGTAAAAGTAAATACCGTGAGGATGACAATGTTGAAAAGAGAGGTATGAGTAGGTAAGAGCACTTCCATAACAGGAATGGTTGAGTTGAACTAATGCATCCTAGCAGAACGTGAACGTCAGGCCCATTAGTTAAACCTCTTTTTTTTTCAACGGGAGTTGTAATTTCTTGTTGGTGGTTTGATTTCGAAACGTTCGAATTGTAATCATTATCCACATTGTTTCTGAGATATTTACAAAACTCTGGACCAGATGTATAAGGTGGCGAACGAACGCGCGACCAGATTTCCGTAGCGACCAAATTTCTAACGCACGCGTTAAAACAGGAAGTATTGTGGAATTAAAAAGGTGTGAACGGAGTCGGGTGATCTTTTTTCTCTTCGCTACACGTTCCATGCTTTTGAATCGACAATGGTTGTTTTACTTTTTCTTATCTGCCTACAACAATTTTTACGGCAGGGTACTAAGCGAAATACAGCCACAATGTCGCTGAGATATTTGCAAAGCTTGGACCGCAGGTGTTTAAGGTGGGGAACGAACGCGCCGTTGTCCTTTCCGGGGAGTAACGCGTTCACCACCACACCATGCGGGTCCTCCGTTTCGCCTATCTCTCAGCTATCTATCGATCAGCGCCATCAGCAATCACCGGTCAACGGGACTGATCTGGGGAGCACACATCGGCATTGAACCCAGTTAAGCTGAGGCTGTAGGGTGATTGCTGATGGTGCTGATCGATAGAACTAGCTGAGAGACAGGCGAAACCAAGGACCCGCATGGTGTGGTGGTGAACGCGTTACTCCCCGGAAAGGACAACGGCGCGTTCGTTCCCCACCTTAAACACCTGCGGTCCAAGTTTTGCAAATATCTCAGCGA